GCGGGGCAGGCGGGGCTCCCGCCCCCAGTGCCGTGGTCACTCGGTGGCCTTCCACGCCTGCTTCCGGGCTGTGGCAAAAACCAGGGGGCCGGCAGGGGGGCTTTTTGTTTTTCTAAAAATTAAGTCACGTCATAAATTTTATTTCATCAGTTGCTTTTTTTTTTAACCTAACATTGTGGGGAAGTGGCTTTTCAGAGCGTTTCATGGACTCCTGGTTCATTGTGTCCCGAGGTGGTCGGCACCCTGCTTCCCGGTTTCAGCTCGTAGGAAGGACGCAGGTGTGCTGGCGGGTGTGTGTCCACACCTATACTGCCTCCACTTACCTAGAAACGACTTCTACTCGTGGGGTCAACTGACCCGAGAGCACCTATGCTTTTTTAAATTGAGAGAGTCCAAGTTTTTTCATATGTTTCTTTGCTTTTTTAAGGAATGTAGTAAAAAATCAAAAACCGATGACCAAGAGAATGCATCAGCGGATGTACCGAGTCCGGCCCAGGAGAATGGCGAGGCAAGTAGATTTTTTCCATTTCACATGAGCCTGGAAGAAAGAGCAGCCGCTGGTTTTCTCCTCTTTGGGGCGTGTGTCACCACCCACGTTGTTGCTCTAAGAAAAACAGAAGTGAGAAATGAATGGGCTAAAGTGGTGCCCCTGCCAGGGGCCAGATGTGCAGGCCAGTCAGTAGGAGGCACACTGCCTTCCAGGTAAGAGGGAGGGACAGCGCCCTGGGACCAAGCTGCCTTGCCCATTGCTCCCCTGGTTGCAAGTCTCATCTCTTAGCAGTTAGGGGATAGGAGAGGGGGACTGGCATGGGTGTGCTCCCAGGAGGGAGAGTACCCCAATTATTTTTTTAAATCAAAAGTTCCATTCTGGCCCTGGCCGGTGTTGCTCAGTGGTTCGAGTGTTGCCCTGCACATCAAAGGGTCCAGGGTTCGATTCCCGGTGAAGGGTACATACCTGGGTTGTGGGTTTGCTCCCCACCCCCTGGCGCATGCGGGAGGCAAGCAGTTGATGTATCGCCCTCACATGGACATTTCTCTCTCTGTCCCCTTGCCCTTTCTCTGAAAAGCAATGGAAAAAGTATCCATGGGTGAGGAGTCACCAAAAAGTTGCATTCTGTAAAACGGGGGTTAGGTGGGTGCTTTATGCAAGTGCGTTTTTCTAATGGTTTTGTCTCTTAACTCAGTTATGGGGTCCTTTCACCCTCCTCAGCTGGTAGTGGTGCTTATTGGGCACACATGCTGAGCTGGACACCAGAGGAAGTGCTCTGTAGGTGGGACCTCACTTTGTGCTCAGAACCAGCATTTCAGATACACCCCACTGCCGTCCCCGCTGTACAGAGAGGACGCAGGGGGGAGGTTAAAGTCACTCTTTTTTTTAAATATATTTTTATTGATTTAGAGACGAAGGGAGAGGGGGAGGAGAAACATCAGTGATGAGAGAGTTGTTGGTCGGCTGCCTCCTGCACTCCCCCAACTGGGGATCAAGGCCACAATCCCGGGCATGTGCCCTGACCGGAAATCAAACTGCAATCTCCTGGATCCTAGGTCAACACTCAACTGCTGAGCCACACCAGCCGGGTTGGTCATTCTTCCCTTAGAAAGTACTGGCATCAGTTTTACAAATGGGAGGTGGCAACACCGGAGAAATAAGTAGAGGTGTAGTTCATTGGTCCTGATAGGACATTTAGTCTGACAGGTGTCAATCTGGTCCCACGTGCACCAGCACTGCTCTGCACTCTGGTGACTGTGGGGCTTAGTGAAAGGAGGGGATGAGATGAGCACCCAGGGTGCCAGGGCAGAAGAGAGCAGGGACTGCCTGGGGCCCTGCAACCCCAAGCAGTGGGCCTGGGGCCTCCCACACCTGACCTCTGGCACATCACGTTGGACAGACATCTAACCCTGGGAGCCCCAGTTTCCTTATCAGTGACATGGGGAGTTGGATTACTGCTCCCCTCCCCCAGGCTTTGGTGACGGCAAGATAACGTGTGTGCACAGTCTCAGTGGGCGCCCCGCCAGCTTAGTGGGTGGACACCCTGTCAGGTTGGGCCCACCAGGGAAGGGGCTACTGGAGTAGGCCCTGGGGTAGTGAGAATTGAGGGGTGGGGCCTGGGGATGGGATGTGAGCCCATCAGGCACAGAGAAGTAGACAGAAGTGGTCTGGGGGAGGGTGGTAGGAGTCTGTCAAGAGGACAGATCAGATGTGCGTTTAAGGGCAGGTGACAGGGAGCTTCAGCTAGCTGGAGCAGAAGGAGCATTGAAAGAAGCCACATGGCAGCCCTGCCGGGCGTGGCTCAGAGGTTGAGCATCAACCTAGGATCCAGGCGATCAGGGTTCGATTCCCAGTCAGGGCACATGCCCGGGTTTTGGGCTAGGCATCCAATCAATGACTCTCTCATTGATGTTTCTATCTTTCTCTCTCCCCCTCCTTTCCTCTCTCTGAAATTAATAAAGATATATTTTTTTAAAAAAAGCCACATGGGAGACAGAGGGTGGTGGGGCCTGGGTAGGCCAGTCCGAGTGGAAAGAGGGTGCAGCACAGGGAGCTGAGTGCAGTTTGAGCTCATGGACATGGAGCTTTTGCAGGGTGCCTGTCTGGATTTAGGAGGGAGAGAGTTCTGCTAGAGGTGGAGGTTGGAGAGGTGTTGGGGGCAGGCTGGCACTGCTCTGGGATGTGAGGCTGACTGGAAAGAAGGGTTGATGGTGAGCTGGCAGTGTGCTGTGCCAGTTCTGAGCTCCCATGGGTGCTGTGGGACTGGGTGAGCTCACTGAGGAGAACACAGAAGGCCCAGAACAGGAGCTCCAGAGGCAGCAGAGGAGGGGATGAGGGAGGAAGAAGGGCCAGGCAGCTCCTAGGGGACACACGTGACAGTGCTCCACGCTGGGCTGTCGTCTGAGACTCACTGGTGTCCCCGTGGCCCGGCCATGAGGTCTGGGGCTCAGCGTCCGTGCTCTGTACTGAAGACCACGTGCTAAAGAGGTTTTACAGAAGAATCGGGCCAAAGGTCATTTTTCTTTCGTAGAAGGGGGAATTCCATAAGTTGGCCGATGCCAAGATATTTCTGAGTGACTGCCTGGCGTGTGACAGTTGTGTGACCGCAGAGGAAGGAGTCCAAGTTTCCCAGCAGAATGCCAAGGACTTCTTCCGTGTTCTGAACCTTAATAAGGTAAGGTGTCCCGGGTGCTCTGTTGTCCTGGCCTGGAGGAGATGGGTGGAGGTCGAGGGGGAGCATGGAAGCCCCTGCTGGGAATGGTGCCTGCAGTTTGGCCCTGGCCCTGCGTCCCATGCTGTAGTCCACCCTCTCCAGAGTCCCTCCCATCAGAGCAAAATCAAACAGCCCAGAGTCAGGCTCCCTCACTGACAGCAATGGCTGTGGCCGGGAACACCTGCCAGGCTCCCTGGGTTTTTGGGAGGCTTCCACTGAGTGAGGTCTTGCAGCGGTACCAGGCCTGAGGTCAGGGGTCTTCGGAGGCAGAGCTGATCCTCTTCTGCCTCTGGGGCATTCTCAGAGGTGGGGGTTGTGTCCTAATGGGCTCATTAGCCTGGGGCAAGTCCCTGCAGACCAGTAATGGCCTTCCTGCCAGGAAGACAGGTGAAAGGGAAAGAAAGAGAAGAGGAAGGCAAATGCATTGAAAAGCACGTCCTGGTTTGCCCTCGCTCCCACTGCCCCACTCTGCGCAGGCAGCCAGAGCCTAGGCCCACATGACAGCGCAGGTGCCCCGGGAGCCCCAGTGCAGTCAGGCATGCTTAGACTGGAGTTGCATTAAATTTATAGGCTAATTTTGGGGAAACTATTTCACCGTAGATAGAGCCTGTTCACCTGTGAGCATGCTGCTGTCTCGGTTATTCTGCGTGACCTTCAGTGGGGGCTGCAGTTGTCCCGTAGATGCCGGTGTTGAGTTACGCCTCCGTTCTCCATCTCGATGGTTCCATCTTGACGTGATTGGGGTTTTGTTGCTTTGTTAACTAGGTTACATTTTACTCTAATGTTCTATAGTGTCGATTGCTGGGGCATCAGGTTTTCTATGTGGCGATTTTGTAAACTTAATGTTCTAGTAGTTCCTAGGGTATCTTAGAGTTTCTAGGTTTATTGACTACAATTAATGAGTTTTACCTCTTTTAACCCATATACCTCTCATACCTCTTTTTCTGACTATGTTGTCTAAGACCCTTAAGTCAACCTCAAATGACAGTGACGAATGGTACTAACCTCTTGTTTTACTATTAACTAGATGTTTGTGGAAACTTCTAGTGGTTACCCATATCAGTCAGCATTCCAGCTGCAGGTGATAGGCACTCAGCTCACACTGGTGCGAATAACATGGAGGTGGCTGCTTCATGAAACTGAAAACTTAGAAGTCAGGAGGGTCTGGGGTTGGCAGCACCAGCCACTCAGGCTGCCACCAAGGAAAGCAGTTTCCATTTCCCAGCCTAGCCGGGCTCTGGGTGCAGGCTGATCCCCTCCCGGTCACAGCCTGGCTCCTCCGCAGAGGAGGTGAGAATGAAGTAAGTGCCTTGGAAAAACCCTGGGCAGGGCACCGGGCAGAGGGACAGGAAGCGCTGGGTCTGGCTCCTCAAAGCTTCCACTCAATGACCTTGGCTTGAGGCCTCTTGGGGACAGGTCTCCAGGTGCCCCTTCAATGTGTGTGTATTGTCAAAAAAAATGTATATTTTTACTGTTACTGAGTCATTTCATTTATTTATGGGACATTATAATTTACATTTTTTTCTTTAAAATTATTTTTCTCCAGATATTTGCATTTATCCATATAAGATTGTTCTTACAATTGACAGGATCTCTTGGGATGTCCCATGTGTTCATTGTAATTTCTTCTCTTTTTCCATAGTTTCTCTTGCCAGCATGTCTTTGCACAGACTGTCACCTCCTGCCTGTCCTGGGTCTTTCATTAAATTGCAGTCACTACCTATGTCATGTTCTTCTCTGTTTCTCCTAGAAATGTGATACCTCAAAGCACAAGGTGCTGGCAGTGTCCGTGTGTCCACAGTCTCTGCCTTATTTTGCTGCTAAATTCAGCCTCAGTGTCACAGATGCATCCAGAAGGCTCTGCGGCTTCCTCAAGAGCCTGGGTGAGCGCCTTTGGTGTTACCATGAATGTAGAACCTGAGCCTGTGACTCCCTCTTTATACCTAGAGTTCAGTTTTCAAGGGCATAGGATAGGTAAGAACGTCTGGTCTGTGAGTCTCGTGGAGGTAAGAGGACCCTGCCTCTGACCATGGAGGATGGGTGTCACTTACCCCTCGCCATGTAGCCGAGTGTTGTGTTACTGCTGGAGGCGGCCCCTCCCCGAGTGGCAAGTGACCATCTTTGGACGGGATATGCGGGAGGCTCCCACACTTGTGGAGCAGTGTCATGTTGCTTGGCTCACGGGACCTCTGAAGGCATCTGTGATGGAGAGGGAGGCCGCAGGGAGGGCATCTGGTTTCCTAGGAAACTGAAGAGCAGGGCAGGGGGACGCGGGTGTTGTTCTGTGTGAAGCATGAAAGGCGGCCAACTCAGCACTGTGGGGACTCGGATGTGAATGAGCACCGGGGAACACCCCCTCCACGCCATAGGGGTGCGTCTTCTGTCTGCCACTGTCAGACAAGTACTGTCCCCGCCCCCGCCGAGACCTCAGGGCCCTGGAGCATCCTTGTGCCAGTCCATCAACACAGGCTCAGGAGGGGAGAGATTGAGCCACTTGCCAAATAACAGCTTTTGTTACTCTGTAGTAGCCTTTCAAAGACATAAGTATATTGGGGATCACAAATAAAATAAGACGAGACTTAGAATAAACAGGGATGCCTCGCTGCTCCTTGGTACGCCTGCCAGGGAGTGAGTTCTGGGTGCACAGTGCCAGCTGCTAGCCTGGGCTTGCTAAGCCGTCCCTTCCTGCTTCTATCTTAAAAAGCCTAAGGTTAGGTTAGTTTTACCAAAGATCTAGTTATTAGATGCTGTATGGTCTCATAGTGAAAGGTCCTCTTTTGACATTCAAAAATAAATAGTTGGGCATTATATGTTAATATTAATAATGAAACTATTCACAGTGGAACTGATTTCTTAAGGTAATGGTTTTAGATGGCACTTAGAATATTATATTTGTTTTTAAGGACAACTGGCTGCTTTTAAGATTTAGACTGGCTGTAGATATTAAAGCTATTTGCTTATTTTATTATAATTATTGGAAATATGTTCTTTTGTCTCAAGCTTATTTACCAATAGTAAGAAAATACATTAAAAAGATAGCTAATTAAAAAATTTAAGATCTTCGTAAAGGTGCTCGGCCAGTTTACTCATGTTACTTAGTTTAACGATGTCATGGTCGTTACTGACTGAAGTGCCATTTAGACAGTGAATTTGGACAGAATGCTGCTGGTACCTTATAACATTCCATTAATTTATATATGGAGCTTGGCAGGGTGCCTGTATAAATACAGATGTAGAGAGAAAAGCAAGAAGCAGAAGAGGGAACGTCGGTATTTTATTACTGAAATGCCCAGGAGGAGAGCCTGCAGATTCTGTTAAGTTCGTCTTTTAGTGTCCAGACTTGGGGAGGAGACCCACTGAGGTGCTGTGAGCTGAGTCCCCCTCTTCCCTGCAGGGGTGCACTATGTCTTCGACATGACAATAGCTGCGGATTTCAGCATCCTGGAGAGTCAGAAAGAATTTGTGCGCCGGTACCACCAGCACCGTGAGGAAGAGCCCACGTTACCCATGCTGACCTCCGCCTGTCCTGGTGAGCATGCAGGGCCACAGCTTCAAAAGGGGGCTGGGGTGTCCTGGAAAAGTGCCTCCCACATGGATCCCAGGTCTCTTGGGGTTGTCTGTGGGGTCAGCTGGTGTCATGTGATGCTCTCCTCACCTGGCAAGGCCCCAGGAGAAGGAAGTTAGCTGTGGCTGCTGCAGGTTGAGCTGCTGGCTGTGTGGTTGGCTGACCACTTTAATTGTGTGTCCACCCTGGAGACCACAGCAGCAACAGTGCCCCTGGGGCTGTGGTGGGAGCCATCCACTTGGGCTTTGTGGCCGCTGTCCTGGCCGCAAGAACAACTCTGCAGCTGGCATGGTGGCTCTAGAGTCATGCAGCCCCGCACTGCCTCACAGCCGTTCCTCTTGTTCTCCTCTTTTTGGGGTACTGGTGTTCCTGGTTTTTTCTCTCACTCTGGCCTGGGACTTGCAAGGCCGCCCATCCCGCATCCTCCAGTCTAGGGCACAGGCTCCTGGGATCCTGTGGCCCCAGCTGCTAGGACTCAGCAGCTTTGGGGAGGGCTCTGTCACACACTCCTAGCAAGGCCTGAAGAAGAGGTGTCAGTTTTCCCCTGGGGGATGGGAGCTCAGGATCCCTGGGGTGTAGCAGGAAGCAGAAGGAAGCCACTGTGAGGAACCGACGCTCCCTGGTCTCTCCTCAGGCTGGGTCCGATACGCGGAGCGGGTGCTGGGCCACCCCATCACGCCCCACCTCTGCACTGCCAAGTCTCCCCAGCAGATCATGGGCTCCCTGGTGAAGGATTACTTCGCCAGACGGCAGGTAAGGCAATCTCTTCCTGGAGGTCAGCCTGGGTCGGGAGCCTGGACTGCACGAGGGGCCGGTGGTGATGGGAACTGAGGTGAGCGAGGGAGACACAGGGTGGACCTGGTGCTGCTGCTCAGTCGTGAGGCAGGAACTGGACTGTAAAAGATGGGGCTCAACCCAGAGCAGCCAGCACCAAGGAGGCCAGTGGGTGTGCTCTTCTCCACCGCCCTGGACATGGTTTGCTCTGTCCCCATAGAACCTGTCCCCAGACAAGATTTTCCACGTCATTGTGGCCCCGTGTTATGACAAGAAACTGGAGGCCCTTCGAGAAGATGTTCCCACAGCTTTGCACAATTCCCGGGGTGCTGATTGCGTGCTAACCTCAGGTGAGAAGTGGGTGGGGCAGGTGAGTGCCATGAGGCCTCCAACAGGCCACCCTCTGAGGTCACTGACAGGGACCCCAGGAAAGGGAAGAGGGCAGCACTCCAACCAGTGTGTGGTGTTGGCCCAGGACGGGGGGAGCAGGCTTGGGCAGCGCGGGGCAGTCACACTTAACTACGGGAGTTTCCAACAGCCCAGTCTGCGCTGGGGGTACAGGTGAAGTTTCCTCTTTCCATAAAGTGGGAAACACTTGTGTGCTGGCAGCCTCCGTGGGGGCTCTGCCCTGACTGCATGGAGCCTGCGCAGGGCTCCGGGTTGAGGTGGGAGTGAATCTCCAGGGCTGTTCAGGGGAATGTTGCAGTCAGTCGAGGGGCAGCTGAAGTCAGGAGCAGCCTTCAGGGGCAGAGATGCCTCCATGGGTCCCCTGACCTGAAGCTCCAGCACGTGGAAACCCATGGAGAGGCCTCCACGGCACAGGCTCCTTGGGGGCCCTGAGACAGGAGGGCCCCGCAGCCTTATCCTGTGCTTCCCAAGGGCCCTCTGCTCTCGGGACGGGTTTTTATAGGAACCCCATGCCGACATCTCTCCTGAGTGCAGAGTAGGTGGTTCGCACCTCACGCACACTGGATGTCCCTTCTGGTTTAGATTCTCTGTTCCAAGATTTTCTCAGGAGCCCGTGTGCAGAAGGGAGTCCAGACATGGTTCTGATTTTCAGTTGGTCTCATTGCGGGTAACAGCACATCCTGTGAATGCAGCCAGTCTGTTTTTGGGCATCCCACCCACGTGAGGTCATCACAGAGTTCTCTGCGTGGGAAACAAACATAGATTGTTGGCAGAGAACCCTCGTTTCAAGAGCAGAAAGGGAATCAGACGCTTCTCTTACATTTTATTAGCATCTTTCATTTCATTGTGTTCCTTTGCACTTGAGATGGGTCCTTGTGTCTGTGGGAGGGACAGCATCCAAGGTCACCTTAACCTAGAGTTTCCTGTGGGGAAGAGGTAATGTTGGAAACAGCTCAACACTGTGCAACTCCACCACTGACGCCTCTTCTTTGTCTGCAGGTGAAGTTGTTCAGATAATGGAGCAAAGTGACCTCTCCGTGAGCGACGCTGCCGTGGACACTCTGTAAGTGGCTTTTGCAGGGAGGGCCAGCTTGTGGATGGGCCTCCTGTGTGATCTCGGTGGGCACCCGTCCCAGGGCCTCCCCACTTTATCTTGAGGCTGTGCTGGGATGTGGGTGTGGGGTGGCACCTCATCCACGGTGCCACTTCCTGTGCTGCCGCATGGCCCCCCACAACCCTCAGCCATCTTCCCGGCTCTGGAATCAAACGTGGACCCTGGTGGTCATTGGTCACCAGGGCTGGGGGAGTTGGGCTCCGTGGTCTCGTGCCCACCAGGACTCTCCCTGGCCAGACTCTATCTGTTCCCGGCCTCTGAGTCTGCACCTGCCCCGGGGTGGTTGCCTTGGGGAAACAGCAGATCCCTTGGGTCCATTCCACCAAAAGCAGCAGGTTGGGTTTCTGTGGTCAGTGGTGACTCGAACCAATGACCGGTGCTCCTGCTGAGTCCTGTGACCTGGACACTGTGCAGAGCACTCCTGGGCTACTTGGCAGGTCCTGCCCGTAGTGGCCCCGGGACTGTTTGTGGCCCTTTTGTGGGAGGCTGGACTGAGGTTTATAAGATCTCAGCAACGCGAGTGCCCACAGCCACAGCCTGTACTTGAGCCAGGCTGACTGCGCACCTCATCCCCACTAGGGCTTCAGATAGGCATGCTCTCGAGTCAGCCTCGGAGTCCCAGTCCCTGTCCCCAGGCTCGAGGTTCTGGGGGACACCCTGATGCATGCAGCAAAGAAGGGAAGTCACTGAGCAGCCCCGAGCACAGCCCCACCTGCAGCCCCAGATGGGGATGCAAATGGCACTTCATATTGATCACTGAAATGTAGTAAGATGGAATCTTGCACAGAGTTTAGGGATCTGCACAGATTTCACTTTTCACGTGGCAACCCTGGGTCATCAAACTCTGAAGTCTGATTTCAGTCTTGTCACCTTTCTCTGCCTGATGAGGTTTGGAGACCTGAGAGAGGAAGAGGTGAGGCGCCATGACGGCGCCAGCTCGGACGGGTACCTGGCGCACATCTTCAGGCACGCAGCCAAGGAGCTGTTCAACGAGGACGTGGGGGCCGTCACCTACCGAGCCCTGAGGTGTGTGGGATGCGCTGCCATCTGTCTGCTGTGTGGTCAGTGCTGCCTCTCAGGGCAGGTTCCCCAGAGCCTGTGTGCCTGCATGCGTGTGTGCGTGCGTGCATGTGTTTGAGTGTGCGCAGACTAGAATCCCTGTGTGTGTTTTACAGGAACAAAGACTTCCAGGAGGTCACTCTTGAGAAGGATGGAGAGGTCCTGCTGCGCTTCGCGGCTGCGTATGGCTTTCGAAACATCCAGAATGTGGTTCTGAAGCTAAAGAAGGGCAAGTTCCCATATCACTTCGTGGAGGTCCTCGCCTGTGCCGGGGGTAAGATGCCCCTACAGCACCCATGGGCAGTGGGCCCTCCTTACCCGCCCTGAGCTTTGCTCGGCCTCAACGGCATTGGGGGAGTGTGGGCACTGCCCTGGTTGTGACAGGTGGTCCCTCTCTCTCCCTCACCCCCTTTCCTGCCTGTGTTTTTTAGGATGTTTAAGCGGCAGGGGCCAAGCCCAGGCGGAGGACGGGCGTGCAGACAGGGCACTGCTGCGGCAGATGGAAGGCATTTACGCCGCCATCCCTGTGCGGCCCCCGGAGACCAGCGCCCACGTGCAGGAGCTGTACCAGGAGTGGCTGGGCGGGGCCGACTCCCCCAGGGTCCAGGCAGCCCTGCACACGGCCTACCAGGGCCCGGGGCAGCCCACCAGCAGCCGGGACATTAAGTGGTGAAGGTCCAGTGGACGGGCTGCAGAGTTCCCTGCTCCTCATCTGTTGACGGCTCCCCCCTCTGTTGGGTGCTGTCTTTATCATCTTTGTGTGACTGGAACATTGTATCTTGAGAGAAGGGTTGCCCCGGTTTACGTTTCCAAAAGGAAAGATTCTAAAAACCCCCAAGATGAAAAAATCCCAAAGAGCAAGAATGGAGATAGACTCTTAGTGTCTGCAAAGAGTTCAGACCTGGCTCTGTCCATGGGCCTCGGAGGGAGGGGTGTGGGGATGATGCG